ATGAGGCGGTTGGTAAGCCAACTATTGTTGGTGCTGCTGATTGTAGCCCTGCTGCATTTGATAAGGCATGACTTGGTCTTGTGGTTGTGTTCCCCCTGGAATGGTATTATATTGTTGTTGTGTTGGTCTATACTGCTGATTTTGAGGTCCCCATTGCTGTCCACCTTGCCTCTGACCCCCAAAATTATTGACATAATTCATGTCTTCTCTGAAGCCCTGGTTATTATTTTCTCCACTCCACGAGCAAACATATGACTGATTTATGCAGGGAGTGCATAGGCCTCCATTTGTCGTATCAACAATGTGCACCTATTTCGCACCCATCTCATCAATTTTCTTTGTCAATAAGCTTATCCGGGTCATGAGAGTGGATATGTTTTCTGCATTTGTATTGTTTGGGTCAAGAGCAACATAATGTACTGTTGGAGTGAGTGTTGTATCTCTCGTCATCCAGCCTGAATTTTGAGCCATCTTGTCAAGAAGAATCTTGCACTCTGTGAATGTTTTGCTCAAGAATGCACCCCTAGCGGAAGTATCAACATTGGCCTTCAGACCGTCAGCCAAACCCATATAGAATCTCTGTCCAAGCATCTGATCTGGGATGCCATGGTGTGGACACTTCACCAACACACCCTTAAACCTCTCCCAGGTTTCCTGCAAGGTTTCAGTTGGTTTCTGCCTGAATTGCAATATCTCATCAATTTGCCTCGCAGTTTTGTTGGGTGGATAGAACTTGTTTAAGAAGTGCTTGACTAGTTCCTCCCAAGTAGCAATGGAGTTTATTGGGAGCGAATTCAGCCAAGTTTGAGCCTCCCCAGTCACTGAGAATGGGAACAGTAATAATCTGATTGCTTCAGGAGTCACATTCGGTTGTCATTGAGTGACACAAATTGATAGAAAGTTCTTCAGATGTTGTTGTGGGTCTTCGATGTACGACCCAGAGAACAACCCTTTATTTTGCAGCAAATGCAGCATGTTGTTGGTAATTTGAAATGTCTCTGCTTATATCAGAGGGACTGCAATTGCGGTGGCCAGGTTATTAGCAGTTGGTTGCGCCCAATCATATAGAGCAGCTTCCGGCACAAGAGGTGCTACCACTCTGATGTTTGGGTCAACTCGAACATTCCTATTGTTCTCGTTGACGTTCTCGACGTCGTCCATTTCAATTTCGAATTGTTCGTCTTGTTTTAGCTGTTTTCCCTTCTTGTTAGCCCGATTAAACGCCCTGAATGCTTTCTCGAGATCTTAGAATCCTTCACAAAGTTCACCAGTTCTCAAGGAGTTTCTAGGCATGCACCTGAGTCACAGAAGAGTTCAAACGTAAGAATTTCAATGGAAATATTTTTAACACCACAAAAAATTGATCTAAACTAAAAATCCTAGCAATTCTTCCAAGTTATAATAAATAACACCGTTAGTTCCCCGACAACATCATCAAAATTTGATCACGCCCAACTATGCCTTATAAAAAGGACTAAGCGATCACTGCAAAAATAATCCGGTTCAAGAGTCCGGAGTCAAATCCCACAGGGAACTAACCTATTTGCTACAACTTTTAGTATCGCTAATGATAAGCTCAAACAATTTTCAGAGTTCAAGATTTTATTTGATAATTAACAGAAATTATTTAGCTAAGGAAAAATGACAATAAAAACTATCAATAAGCAAGAATGAAGTTGAATCCAAGGGTAAAAGAATCTAAGGTTATTAATTTCCCCAATTGTCGGATTAATTCCTGATACGTTAGCTATAATCTCGTTGTAACACTCTATAAAGATGGTGAGTTCTTGCTTACCGTACTTATCTCTCGATCAATTACGATAATTTACTAGGAGCATTCTCTCGAACTACTCTAGTTGACAATTTGTACAACTCATAAATATCACACCAAAGCTTCGTTATCTCTAATCTCGCTTTTAAATTCAAGTAATTAATCTCTTAACTTACTCGAAAGTGGCGTTCAATAGCAATCTAATCAAGTGTTCTTTCTCTAGCAACACTAGACAACTAGACACGATTAATCAAGGGCCCTTTTAATTAATCACAAGAAACACATAGTTGAACAATTATAGAGTAAAAACGGTTCAATTATATCAAAACGTAATCAAGACTTCATCCAATAATTAGTTCTATCAACCCTAGACGACAGGTTTAGCTACTCATACTACTATGCACGATTACAATATAAAAAGTCATAACCAACAATAGAATTAAGAAGAAGAAAATGAAAAACTCGTAGGATAATTCTCCGTCTTGCTCCTTTTGTGTTCTTGTCACCAAAGTTCTTCTAAAAAGAGAGATACCCTCTTTTTGGGCTAGCTGGGCTTCATATAGGTCAAGGTTAGTCGCCTCTCAAATTACAAAATTGGCCTTGGACGATTTTTCTCGGAAGCACGTGCGCGGCCGCGCATCGACCGCGCACTTTGGCCAGTTTCTGCCTGACATGCACGACCCAGTGCGCGGCCTGCATAGACCGTGCACCTGGAGGATTTTCTGCAGCATTTTTTCTTTCTTCTTTTTAAGCGCACTAACCTCCAATTGGCCTTCAATGCTCCATATTATCTCCAAAACACTCTTTAACGTCCTCATAGCCCGGAATTGCTCCTGCAAAGCATAAAGTTCTTAATTAGATTAATTTGTTATCATTTAGCATTCAAATATCAATAAAGTGCGGCTAAGTTAGAGTGTAAATAGTAGCTAAACTACATAATTATAGCCTACTATTAGTGAGCCATTTCACTATTCTTGTATTGATGAATTGATAAGGTTTGGGATTTCGAAGTGTTGGATATTCTCTTTTGTATTGGTGGATCTTAAATGTTACGTATGCTTCATCTTCTTTTGTGTTAATAAATTCATAAATATTGGTGTTGAGTTGTTTATGTTAATAATTTGAAATTGTTGGGATCGGGTTATGCGCCAAAATGGTATTGAAATAAATTGATATGGTGGGATCAGGTTGCACACCACAATGATATTGAAATATATTATATGAAGAGATAAGGACGAAATATGATATGAACAGATGATGATATGGCGGGATCGGGTTGCGCACCACAACTGTTTGATCCAAAATTTTGATTTAGGTTTAAATAATTATATTTTCTAATAGAATAGAGTTAATCTTAGCCAATATTAATATCCAAAAGATTGAATATCTGATTTTGTAGCAAGATGTAACGAGTACTATTCGAGTAGCAATAAATAGAAGCAATATTCAATGGCCCAAGAACAAAGAGGATAGCATTAAATAGCAGTAAATAATAATGAATGACACTTATGTAAATGAATGCGAGTGAGTTACCCGAAAAGGGGTGAGATTCTTCGATATTCCCTCTGACAAAGATGGATGATGCTAAGCCTTAGAATATTCAGATCCTCCTCGGATCGTGGGAGAAAAGATAGACACAGATCTAAAGAAAAGGTATATTTTATATGTTAATGATAAAGCAAGAATCTTTAGAGAATATCAATGTAATATTTTTTATAATGAGTGTCCAATCCCCTCTATAATCCTTTCTCTTTCTATTTATAAGGGCACATGGACCACAAAAACCCTGATAATACAGATGGGAGGAATATTCCCTAGAATATTCTCTGTAAGGTCTTATTTCTAAGACTAGCCATTACGGCTCTACTAAAGGGAGAACTATACATCGTCCTTATCCTCTGTTGAGTCAACTCGACCTCGCCTTCGTCCTTTATTAGGTCACTTCGACCTCGCCTTCGTCCTCTTTTGAAGACAACCCGATAACACCATCCTTCGAAGGCTTTCATAATTTTGACTTGGCCCACATATAATTATGATAATTTTTGGCTCATACATCAACGAATTTGACGTGTTGTAATTGTTTGTAGCTGTAGAGATTGTTCTCGGTATTGTGATATGAGATTTGAAATTTTGTTATTCTAGGGGCCTCTAGTAGTTGACCTAGGGGTCTGGTTATTTGAGTTTACTATTTTATTTCTATTCATGTTTCTGTTATTACTGTTTTGTACAGGTTATTTGTGAATGTCTTGCCATAGCCTTGTCACTATTTCGTCGAGGTTAGACTCGGCACTTACAGAGTACATATGGTCAGTTGTACTCATGCTACACTTCTGCACTTCTTGTGCATATTCCGGTGTTAGTCATAGCGGCGCGTAACAGAGACTGCTCGGATTTGACAACTGTAGGAGACTTGAGATAGAGCTGCTAGCGTTCGCAGTCCCTGAAGTTCCATTCTACCATGTTTTACTATTATTCTAATTTCAGACAGTTTACTTCCGGTCATGTTTGTAGTATTCTAGACGCTCATGTATTTGTGACTTCAGATGTTTATGAGAAGTTTAGTAATGCGTTACTTATAATAACATTATTGTTACACCCCACATTTTCGTATATGAAAGCACGCCATAAATAAATTGATGAGAGCTCGAAAATAATATGTTACATCCCGTATTTTTTTTGTATGCTAATATTTCGTCGTAAGTTAATTGATGTAATCTCGGGAACGAGATTATTTTGGGATTATAAGTATTATGCTATTCCAAACAAGTGATGAGAATATTCATGAAGGAGAGATGGTAAGTAAATCGAAGAAAATAAAATTTCTCGAAGTTTAATAATTTGGGATAAAATAAGGTCCGAGCTATAATACCCGGTATTTATGGATTAGTGCCATACAAGGTACCATATGACCATGATAGTATGATGTATAAAGTGTATTAAAAAAGAGTAGTATTTTAGGTAATTTGAGATAATTCTTAATTATGCGGGTAATTGGTTAATTACCGGGTAAGGGACATTACCTAATTACCTAATAAGTGGATAAAAATTAAACTTTTCCACCCCATCCCCACGTGGCAGCCCCCTCACCTTCTAATTAATGACTCATTAGTCATTTAAAATAGGTGTCACATTGTTAGAAGATAAAGTCCACTTTACTGATGCTATAACTTTGCACCTATCGATTGTCTTTAGTGGATGTATTTTTGACCAAAAATAATAATTATCTAGTTAAGGATCGAGGCATAGCTATTGTGTATAGCTACCTAAGAACAAGAATTGATCCTCAGTAGCTGCTCAAACCTGCTATATACATGTAAAGGATGTTTTACCTTGGAAGATAGCAAATGCACATGAAACCTGGTAGTGGTTAATACAACTGCCCAAAGGAATTGGGTCAAAAAGGAATTTTGAATTATCTTGCTAACTCTTCTGGTCTGTTTATTGACACAATGAGTTACTAGCACTGTGCATGGGTGGCTTAAAATGACATGCTATATGGCCCGTGGTTTCTCTATCCAATTCGTAAGGAAGCTGTTGATATTCTAAGCCCTGGTTATAAGGAAAGCTTTGAACCGATTGTAAGTTCATTGTTAGAGGTACAGAGAACGAGATGCACCTGGGGAGATCGTTGCGATTTGCAATGACAAAAACATTTGGCAAGTCCGCGACTGATATTATATTTGTTGCTCTTTCAGTACTTTTAATCACCTTTTAGCTGTTTCAAGTGTCGGAACCAGGTATGTTAAGGCTATCCCTTTTTTCTTTTGGCATGATCCATACGATACAAACAAAACGAGTAAACGTAAAGTTTCTATAAACAACTCTATTCATAGAAATATTAGGTGTGTCTATATTCTTGATTCCCCATGTGAATTATTATTATATCTTCTATTCATGGGTCTCAGAAAAATACGTATTTGATAAAATTTATCCGACAAGCATATTATTTTTATGACATTCCGAGAAAATCTTATTAACGTATTTCTTAAGGCATATTATTTTTATGATATTCCGAGAAAATATTATTAACATATTTCTTATGCATTTCATGCATTTATACATATACATTGACCCATGACCAGATGGCGTTATATACGCGTATATATGTATATTATATGGATATGGGATATGGGAAAAGGTTACGGCGTTATATACGTACCACCACCTGATCAGCTGGTATACGTTGATGATTTTTCCACAATGGCTGAAATGATATAATGGGATGCCCTCTGAGGCTTGATGATGTTATGAACGCATATACCTATGCATGGTATGATATTTATACGCATATGCATGACATTATAAAAATAAAATGACTCACAGAGCTATGCACACGTACATGTCGAGTCTTTTACTTCATGTTTTTCTCATGTCTATTATTTACTGATTTCCATTCCTTACATACTCGGTACATTATTTGTACTGACGTCCCTTTTGCCTGGGGACGCTGCGTTTCATGCCCGCATGTCTCGATAGACAGGTCGAGAGTCCTCTAAGTAGGAGATCAGCTCAGCAGAAGATATTGGTGCACTCCATTTGCTCCGGAGTTGTTTATTTGGTCAGTATGATTTAGATGTGTATGGTTTGGTATGGCGGGGCTCTGTCCCGACTTTTATGATAATTATGTACTCTTAGAGGCTTGTAGACATATGTCGTGTACGTGAAAGATTGTACGGCCTTGTCGGCCTAGGTTTTGAGTTTATAAATGATGATGTTGGCCTATTAGGCCCGTATGTCACGTGTATATGATGATATAATAAGAAAGATACGTTATGTTGGTACTCAGTTGAGTAAGGTACCGGGTGCCCGTCGCGGCCCATAGGTTTGGGTCGTGACAAAAGTGGTATCAGAGCAGTTCTGTCTTTGGGAGTCTACAAGCCGTGTCTAGTAGAGTCTTGTTTATGGGCGTGTCGTGAACCACACTTATAAGTAGGAGGCTACAGGACATTTAGGACTGTCACTCTTTCTTCTTACTCTAGATCGTGTGGTAGAGCTCATTTATAAGAATTCAAATTCCTAGCTTCTATTTTATCCGTAATATGACGATACCTTCAATTTGAAAGAGATTGAATACGGATATGGAAGAGTTGAGTCAGAGGAGCTCGATTTTTCATAATGCTTATGAAGAGAAAATATAAGGTCTTCAGTAGATCATGTGTGTACTAAAACGTGTAACCCTCTTGATAAGGAACCTTAAGGCAAGGATATCTATCCACCCCTATGGTGAAAGGCAATGAGAATTTAGAAGATAGTACAAGTCTCAACAAGTAAATGAAGCAAGGTGAAGAAGGGTACGATGCGCCCAGTTAATGAAAACTATCATTATTTACCATTCATGACGGGAGATATAAGCATTTTGAGTTACCTTCAATGGTAGCAGAGGTATGTACAACTGGCCACACCCATCTCATTTATGCCATATGGAAGCTAACAAAAGTAGTATAAGAGAAGGACGAATATCAAGGTCCGGCTGGGGTTAGAGTGACCTAAAAAGGGTGGATGGAGTATTTGAGTTGGTTGACATTTTCGAAGGATAGTGCAAATGTGGTAATGGATCTCCTGGTGAGACACCTCGATGGTGCACCCTAAAATAGTACAACTAGATATGAGTACTACAAAGATAAGCACTGGAAGCCTGGAAAGGATAAATATTATCTTAGTATGGCTCCCGTCCCTAGTAGAGAGAGAATGTTAGGCAACCCGAAGAGCCAGCAGATGGAGCAAGGGGATCTAAAAGCAAGAGAATGTCTTGTTGAAGTTTTCAGAATAAGGTGATAGACAGAGATGTTAGCAGGGAAATAAGAAGAGAGTTAATGAAACATTATGAGTAAGATGTCAACATGGATGACAACGGTAGATCAAAACAAAATTGGCAGTATTATAGAGTCAATAGTCAAGGGAAGGAAAATACGAGAGGTGACAGGACTTGAGGCAACAAAAGAGTATAGGCCATAAAGTCATATCCTCACTTTGAAAAATAAGTTCGTGACTCCAACGCAACTACCAGAAGAAAAAGTTAGACCCCAGAATAATAGAAATCAGTATGGGCTGGTGAATAAGATAAATTAAACATGAATTAGGGACTGAGTGACTTGATAATAGTCAGCATCACGAGAATTTCATATTTGCGTTCCGGCGATAATAGAATGGACAACAAAAGATGATTCATGAGAAATTCAGAAAATGGTCATTCAGGAAGACGCTTCCCTAAAGCAAACAATATGAGCAAAGTTAAGCTTAAGGGATTGTTGTGCCAGTTGCACTAAGTGTCACCATTGCGAGTAAGAAAATTTGTTATCCTTGGTACAGAAGGATTGCCGCAAGACGAATAAGGGTCATTGATGTTGTGAAACGACGCCAAAAATGAAGAGGTAAAACATCTATAGGTAGATCCTCGTGGCTTCAGCTCTTAGTACTTCCCTAAAGGGAGGAATATGGAGTTATGTGGCATTAAGTCGTAATTAAGTAATTCTAGTAACTATGGAATGGTAAAGGAAGAGTGCGACAAAAATAAAAAGGGAATGAGATTGCACGTATTCAAATCCTACAGATGTGCTACGATTCCAGAATATTATGCAAGCACGACGTCAAGGAGAGGAAGTAAGGGTTCCTGCCTGAGATGTTATTGATAGATAAGGAGCACGTGTGAGACGTAAGTTAAGATAAAGGAAATGACCCAAGAAAGATTACGCGGAATATTGATATGAGAATGGGCCAACGAGTAGTCACTAGTTGATTCAGGAAGAGCCTAGTTATGGCTAAACAGGGGGTTACAGACGAGGTAGCAGACCGTGCAAGATAAAATAGTAAAACCTAATATGGGAAATTCAGTCTCGCAGATATGACCTCGGAACCCTTGAAAAATATTCAGATAGAAGTTGGGGTAGTTAAAGGTGACATATAAGTGTTACGGAAATAAAAGAGGATGCCACTGGAAACAGTCAAAATTTAAGTTCAAAAGCAACTCTACAAGCACACGAGCGTAAACTACAGATAATTATAGGAGAGAAAGGACATTAAGTATTCGGTGTAATTAGCTCGCAGCTTTACAAGAGTCAGAGAATCCTCCCTAAATACTACAATGAAATACTGCTGAGAAAGTAAGGAAGGAAGCTTTAACCTAAGCTAGGTGACCTAAGGAGATAATAGTCTTATAACAACAGTCTCACAACAACATTGTATGCACTCCATAAGAAAATAGTACCTACCGTGGCTAATGAACGGGAAGTAAAATCAGAAGTGATATTCAAGATCATATGAGTTGTATGGAATTTCAATATGCATGGGCACGAAGATAAGCTAAGTATACACGCAAAAGGGGGCAGAAAGACCAGGAAAAGTAATTGCTTACGTTTGAAGAAAGCTGAGATGGAACAAAAAGAATTATTAGATTCATGATCCAGAGTTAGTTACGTTATGAACGCACTTAAGAGTTTGGAAGTTTTATACATGCAGCCTATACAGCCGTAAAAGATTCCGGTATAAGTTAAAAGAAAGAATTGAGCCCAGGTCATAGATGAAGGATTGTGTTATTAAAGGATTGTATCATGGACATTCCTCAGCACCCATGAAAGGCTAAACGTAATAACTAATACCATGAGCCGCAAATCAAGATATAGCTTAATGTCACGGGCCCAAATTCTTACATTAGGTAGCGGCACCTGCTCGCCCGTGCGGCGCCTGCAGTTCCCCTCGCTGCAGGCCAGCCTTCTTCCTGTCCCAAGATTTCCCAAGCACGATCATGTGCCTGTTGGTGGGACTCGCCCCAACTTGTGCTGCCCGTAAGATGCCTAGGCCCTTGGCCCTAGAAATGTCGTGGCGCTTCATCTTAGGATCACAATCCATGCGCGCCCTGGGGGATTAGCTTAGGACATGCCTTGTCCTTAGCCCAAGACTGAGCATCGCTCCCGCGTGCACAGCCCAATCCTCAAGCTTGACACTCGCCTAGTGCATCCGCGACTAGCTCGTGCCTCGCGCGAGTAAGGCAACCTTTAGCCCTTGGCCATTGTCATGCGCCACTTTCGTGCCATGCCCATACATAGCCCTCTTGCAGCACGCTTCTATTCTGAAGTAGTGCAGTGTCGCCCACACCTGTACCTTTAGGCCAATGGACCCTTGCTTGCATGGTTGAATCAAATCCATACTCACAAGTCAACACATGATGCCCCTATGACAGGTGCGTCAAGTATCCAATCGGCACGGAGGTCTCGTTCCAACATTCGCCAGCCTGCAGGGCTGGCCGTTTCACAAGCCTCCAGCACCACTTTGATGCCCAACGCAGGCCCGAAGGTGTTGCGCCGCCCATAGAGTTTCCCTAACTCGTATGGGTGCCTTTGACACTCCTTTTGAGTCATCTAGGCAGGCCTTTGAGGTTGCCCCCAAGGTAGCTCGTTCTATACGGCTCGGTGGCAGCACGCATGGGGGAGGCAGGTCGGAGCTTTCATCACCTATAACCCCCTTATATATGCTTAAAATTAAAAAGCCCAAGTTGCCCGAGTAGACTGCTCTACGTCAGACCATCAGAAGGACCTTTTCTCACCAGTTCTTAACCGAAATCACAACTCCAAAATGCGAGTTGTGACATTAAGCCTACATAAAGGCTGATCAGAAGAAGGAGGAAACTAAAGAGGTATATCAACGAAGTAAATCAAGAATCTGATTATTGGACCCGAAAAATTATAGAAATCGTGATTGAGAACATTACAGGATCACTCTTAATATCAGAGGTACCGGAGGGATAGTACAACAACCATATTCTATAACGGCCCTACAATAAAGCCGGTTAGAAAAGTACCAGCCTCATAAGAAGTCAGTACGAAACTCCCACCGGATTGTGTATGCACCAGAGGAACAAGTATTATAATAGAGCTTCAAGTTATGGATGTGAATTATACCTATGTGGAAGGGAGGTCATGAAAGAGATAGAAGATACGATGCGAGATTTTAAGGTAAGTAAGGTAAAGGTGAACAACGTACAAGATACTCAAAGGCAGAAGATCGTGAATAGTCCATGCTTTGGATAGAAGGCTAGAAGCACTGGGATTCAATATCCAAGAACGATAGCAGCGTCGTCAGTGGCGTACCTTCCAGCCTATGGTTTCTAAGTACCGAGAGATCTAGTCCAGAGAGTAAAGAAGAGTTAGAGACAATGTGATGTCTCGCTTAATATTCTAGAATAACATAAGGGAATCAATGGTGCAAGCAAGTGGAAGGAAGGTTGTGAATAGTATAAATAGATACATAGAGGTCGCAAGCTAAAGTATAGTAAATCGACAAGGTTTTATGATAGGAGTAAGGATGAGAAAGGGCGAGTAAGAAAGTGACGAGAATGGGTTAGTTCTCGGGATTAAGCCCATGAAAACATGAGAGCCGATGGGTTCTCTAAGTTATAGAAGGCTCAGTATAGCCTGAATGAACTCAAAGGAGTCTAAGACTAGTAGCATGTAGAAGAGATGGAATGCTGCCCTGGTAGTGAAATGAAGGTGTAATTGTGACAGATGAAAGATAACAGTTGGGCCTTCGACTGAATAATGATTGGAAGAAAGAAAAATAAAGGGGAGAAGGAGAAAAGATTTCGCGAACGACACGAGATCAGAATACCCCCATAAGGCGAATCACATCGAGATACTATGAAATACGATTACAGAAATCACTTCAAATATTCCTCGATGCAACGTAAGCCCTAGTGGCAAGGTTTTACGTAAGAAGTTTCAAGTTATCAATGGTATATTGTAGATCAATATTGAGGTGAATCAACAATGGATAGACAAAAGTCACAAAGTACGAGATGAGATTAGACCATCGTTCTTAAGATGAATAGTAATGAGGAAACATTAAAGGACTTAGATTTATACATATGGGATAAGCAACGAGAATAACCTGGAGTTTGGTAGCAGGCCTCAGTAACGATAAATCGAAGTAAGTGTTATGGTATATTATGACCTACCTAGATGCAGTAAAGTCACACGGATGGATAACTGGGGCTATGAAACAAGATATAGCAATAGTCGTAAGTTCGACAAAGTACCGAGGGAAGGACTTCAGTATACCTATAAATGCCCAGAAGGACATCTTTAGTTCTGTATATGTTCACAAAGTGAGGCCTAGATATTGGCTAAAAACCGAAGGAAAGAGTCGCATAGGCGCATTTACAAGGTCAGAGTCGTACATACTGCATGATAGAAGGTAGCAACAGTTACGAGATTGGAAGGATTTCGACCACAAGTCGTGGTGTGAGAAAGAGGCTTTAAGGGAGGGGGTGCCCTGGCCTTTGGATTTATTCACAGAACAGTTGCCTAGATGGCAAGGAGGGTAATAAAGTATTCGGAAGACATAGGCTATGAAAATGACCAGTGCACCAGTCAACATTCGAGGACGAATATTTCAAAGGGGGAATGATGTTACACCCCATATTTTCGTATATGAAAGCACGCCCTAAATAAATTGATGAGAGCTCGGAAATGAGATGTTACATCCCATATTTTTTTTGTACACTAATATTTCGTCGTAAGTTAATCGACGTAAGCTCGGGAACAAGATTATTTTGGGATTATAAGTATTATGCTAGAACTATGGTAGCACATTTCATGCATGCCTACACTTTAGCATGTCACTTATATCAGTCCATGAGTATGTAAATTGATATCCATTGTTTATGTACATGTATCCTTGTATATGCTTTCTATGTTATATGGACTGTATTGATAGCACATGAGTTGTTCGTGCGAATCTGAGTTGTGTCAGCACGTGAGTTGTCTGTGCGGTGGTTATATATGGCACGTGAGTTATCCGTCCAACGTATAGATAAGGATCCATCCCCCTAGGGTCATACTCTCATATTTTTATCTTGATGGTGTACACGTGGTATGGGAAAAACTAACTAGTGCTTGATTTGGTTATTGCATTTTTTCTTTACTTGCAGTTTCCTTGGGTGTATACATTTACTATTCGCATATCTTCTCTATATGCTAGATCAGGAATGTATACATGCCATGTTTTGCATATCTTTTCTATATGCTGAATAGTTAACTGAAATAGAGCATGTTACGTTATCTTTGTGTACCGAGGAGGCTTTATTTGTGATTTATGACTTGACGATGTTACTGCTATATACTGGTGAGATTTATGAACTGAACAGGTTATTAGAGAGTATCATTAATAATTTTTGTCTCTATTACCTCGCTGAAGTTAGTTATAATACTTGCTGAGTACACGTGGTCGATTGACTCATACTACTCTCTCACTTAATTGTGCAAATCCAGGTGTTGGACCGAGCTATGAGTAGCCATGTTCTGTTGCTGAGGATTCGTAAAGAGACGAGGTAAAGCTGTATTTCGGCCGTAGTCTTTGACGTCTCTTTTCATTTCTGTATTGTTGCTTTCATTCGGACAATATTTTATTTTGTATTCCAGACTTGTACTTCTGTTTTAGAGCTCACGACTCTGTATTTACCAGTTCTGGGGGATTTTATATATTGACGCAATTATTTATGTTATTGGCTTTAGACTTGTACTATTTCCGTTATTTCTGTTATTTTGTTCCACTTTTATTATGTTCGGCTTGCCTAGCAAGTAAGTTAGGTGTCATTACGACCGATTGGTGATTTTAGATCGTGACATTGTAACTGCTACTTGAACTCTGTAACAATCTTCTTAATCGCCTTTAAGGCAGTGACTTGCCACGACACGACATTTGTGTGATAATTATTTTTATTGTCTTTCTTATTCTTGGTCAATACAAGCTAATAGTTAATGATCCTTTTCTCATACATAATCAAATTGGAATAAGACCTTATATTGTATTTACTTTGACCAAGCCACTATTCTTTTCAGGTTAATTCGTTTAACATAAGTCCGACTTCCGTGGTGATGGAAGAAAAATAAATGTTAGTTGATTATTTTTTACTATGTTTGACTAAACTGAAACGAAGGTAGTTGCATGTCCTTTTTTTTTTTTCCTTGAGGCAATTGCATGTTAACGTTCTCCTTTTTCGGTGTTAAACGGGGGGTCTAACGGGGCTGAACTATTGCAATTGCTCAATCAGATTGTGCAAAAGACTACTGAAAAAAAATTGAGTTTCAGCAGTCCAAAACGTAGCCTATGGAAACTTTAGAAAAGACCATTGTGTAGAACACTAATCCATGGGAGCCAATATTAATTTGAAGTCTGGCAGATGCGCCAAATGGGCACCATCAATGTGTGAGATGTAGCGGTATAGTAGCGAAATAAAAAAATTCACTAATAGTGTTCAAAATTTAATATTTATGTATAACAAGTTGAGAAACTTTTAAGTTAGAAGCAGTATATAGATTTTTTATATACATAATTATATAATTATCCAATAAAGGGTGTTCAACTTACTGCAGCCCTTCAGCACATGTGACTCCGTCATAAGTTTGAGATTTTGTTATATTTTTCTTTTGGGGAGATTTGCTACTTTGTCTTAATGAACTTCCGAAGAGTACTCCACATAGATAAGAGATTATTTTTATTCTAATGCAGTTGGCCTCATGACCGCTTAGAACTTACTGCACATTCAAATGACAACAACAATAATAACAGATTTGGTATAGGGTAACAATAATAACAGATTTGGTATAGGGTGATGTGTACACAGACCTTATCACTACCTTGCGAAGATAGAAAAACTGTTTTCGATAGACCCTCGACTTACACTATCTGCACATTCAGATGGTGTAAACAATTCTCATAATGGCGCATAGAACTCTTTCACCATACCCTACATGTTACAGTCGGACCGGATTTGTTTCTTCTTTTATGAGATTGATTGACCTTGGCTTTAAAATTTTATTACCTTTTCAGTACCGTTATTTCTCTAATAGAAGAATACTTTGCAAATGCAGCAGCAAGAGGATTCTCTCCTTAGCCAAACTAATACAGGAGCACATCAAAATTCTTACCAAATTTGCATCGATAATAAATTTATTTCTTTGAATTTAAAATCCAAGAAAATAATAATAATAATAATAACAGCTTCAAGTAGCAAAAGTTGCCATATTTATTGGAATCAAATAATAAACTTCCATACGTAAAAATCTCCTAGAATGATTGAGACCCCATATTCATTTGGTTAATTATTAAATTCTAAGATTCTTACAATCTTAGACCAAATGAATTTAATTTTAAAATGTCATTAGAAAATACTACTATATAAGAGAATCTTTATATCATTCATTCATTCAAAAGCTTTTTTTCTCACCAATGGAGTTTTATCAAACATCAAAATGTGATGTAATTCTTTCTCACCCTTGATCTTCTATCTTTAATTCAAGTGTTTGCATCAGTTACTATAATTGTTGTTATTATTTTTTATTGTTAAGGATTTGTCATTGAAAAATGTTGTAACAGTTTTTGGCAAAAGTACTGGTCGTTTTGACATGGGGAATGCTAAGTCTTAGAGCAGCGGAATGTAGTACCGATACAGGATCTGTGGACTATGAAGCAATAAACTGTAGAAAGCACACTGCATTTTTGACAGATTTTGGAGGCAAAGGTGATGGATATACGTCAAACACAGAGGCTTTTAGAAGAGCAATTAGTGAATTGAGCAAATTTGCAACAGATGGGGGAGCACAGCTCATTGTTCCTCCTGGGAAATGGCTAACAGGCCCTTTCAATCTCACTAGTAGTTTCACTCTTTACATACACCAGGATGCTGTCATTCTAGCTTCTCAGGTTTCTTTCATTCATTTATTTATGCTCTCTTAATTATTATTTTTTAAAATGTTTTGAACTTTTTCTTTATGATTTTTTATTCTTATCTGAACGTCCTAATCAAAGGGAAATGAAATATAAAAGGATATCAATTGGAATAAAAGAAATCAGCCAAAAGATATTAACATGCAAAAATCATTGTTAAACTTTTTAACGACATGAAAAAACCAAAAGATATGCCCTCCCGCTCTATCTATTCAAGGGATGGAAGGACAAATGTCTTTGGTGTCCATAACTTATTGTTTTCCCTTATAACCCTCTGGAAAGTGTCCAGCGTTAGAGCTCTATCGATTTTTAACGAGGTTTTATACCATACTAATTTAATCAATTGTGTATTATCAAAATTAGATTTTTTTTCAAAATTGTTCCAATGTTTCAATTTTTTTCCTATATTAGTATTGTTTAGTATGTTTAGTTAGTTTTTGGTATTTTATTTTATAAAACATCACATAAGAATCTCCACAATGGGACATCTCATTTAAAAGCACAACATTAACATTATACATGTGGCTTGACCTAGCAAATCTAGACGAGGTTCTGTGACGTAAGACGAAATATTTCTTGTTAAGATACACTACGTGATTGTGGGTATAGGATGAGGCAGAGTGGGATTTAATTCCACCATTGCCATCTTATGGAAGAGGAAGAGATGCTGCAGGACCAAGGTTTATTAGTCTCATCTTTGGAACAAACTTGACTGATGTAGTCATTACAGGTAAATATCCATTGGTTACTCCCTCTTTGTTCGATCAACACAAAAATAATATGTCAAAGACAGAGGCCAACATTTCTGATGTTCTTTTGTTATATATATAACCAGGTGGAAATGGAACCATAGATGGTCAGGGTCAACAGTGGTGGACAAAATTTCGACAAGGTCAACTGAACTACACCCGACCTTACCTCATTGAGATCATGTTCTCCGATCATGTCCAAATTTCCAATCTTACCTTGATTAACTCTCCTTCGTGGAATGTTCATCCCGTTTACAGCAGGTTTAGTTTCTTCTTTCCCTCATTTTATCATATCATATTCTACTAACTTGCTTAAATAGAGCGACACAGACAGTGAGGATTTATATAGCCGGCCTCAACTTACTTGGGTATGATCATTTTGATCCACTAACTTGCTTGACATTCTCTAATTGATTCTTAATTTTTTACTATTTTTTTTGGTTTCAAAATTGCAGTTTTGTGGTGATGAAGGGATTAACAATCCTTGCACCAACTGATTCACCAAACACAGATGGGATTGACCCAGGTTTGTTAAAAGAACATAGTAAATATGGAAGAAAAATGACTGTCTGTTGTAAGTAATTCATTTTTTGGTTGCTTGGCAGATTCTTGTTCAAACACCAAAATTGAAGATTGCTTCATAGTCTCCGGGGATGATTGTATAGCAGTGAAAAGTGGTTGGGATGAATATGGAATAGCATTTGGAATGCCTACACAGCACCTAATCATAAGAAGGCTTACCTGCATATCTCCTGATAGTGCAGTCATTGCTCTTGGAAGCGAAATGTCCGGTGGCATTCAAGATGTTAGAGCTGAAAACATTACAGCAATCAGTTCTGAATCAGGCGTGAGAATCAAAACTGCTATAGGAAGAGGGGCATACGTTAAAGACGTGTTCGTGAAAGGAATGACATTGCAGACAATGAAATATACCTTTTGGATGACGGGCGATTATGGGTCTCATCCTGATGATCATTTTGATCCAAAAGCACTTCCTGTCATTCAGGGAATTAATTTTAGGGACGTTGTATCTAAGAATGTTACAATAGCAGGGAAATTAGTGGGGATAAAAAATGATACCTTCAGCGGAATTTGCATTTCAAATGTGAGCATCGAGTTGTCAGAACATGCTAAGAAACAACCATGGAACTGCAGTGATATACAAGGGGTTTCTAGTCAAGTGAGTCCTCAGCCGTGTGCTCTGTTGCCTGATCAGAAAATTGATTGTCCTTATCCCAGCGATACGTTGCCTGTTGATGAGATTCAGTTCCAGACTTGTGCTGCAGCTACTCACTGTTGAGTAAAAGATAGAGATATATCCAGCTAGTGCCTTGTTCTTTTATGCTTCAAAGTTTTGGAACCATTTTTATTTTTAATTAAACAACATTTGCTCCAGTACATGTTTTCCAGTCTTCTAGTTAAAATCAAGTTATAGATGTTACCTCATATGCTTCACTCTACGACTTAGACGCTATGTCCTTGAGCATACATTAGCAAGTAATCTTTGAAAGGACTAAAAGAAGTCATAGTAGCTATTGGGAAAGCAATTAGAGTAGCTCCTTGCACAGGTTTATCATAATCTTCTAGATACTAGCGGCATAAAGCTGTAGCTTTTAATTCACTAATATCCTTATATTTCCTGCCATTTATCAGTTGTCAGCCATTGATGGCTGTACTGCAATTAGTGCCATTTCAGATCATCTTTGTAGTTGATACTTTAATACAAATACCTTTGCATCTCATAATTACAAACATATTCTGACCTGCACTGCTTAATTCCACTCTTCGTTGATTGGCATTATACACAAATAGCTGATCTCTATACAAAGCAATAGACGTAAAATGTAGGAAGAGCTGATCAAGAAATTGATGTTGCTAAAAATAGCTCCAAAAGTTTCCATAAGAAATGAATAACCATAATCAGCTCTCGAGTTTTCCAAGAAAGAACGGTTTTGGGATGCATAAATTATTGATTTCTCCAATCAATGGAGCATTCGGTGGGAGAGGGAGCAACTTGATCTCAAACAGCTTTGGCCATAGTTTCCCTGTCACTGCAGTGAAGGACAGAATGATGTCATTCACAGAACCATCCAGCTGCTAAAGATCACTAAAAGAAATTGTTAAGACGCAAATCACCCACTGCAGAAAGTCCTCCATTGCACATTTTACTTTGGTACCAAATGTATATGTTTTTCTGTGTCTTACAAACTGAGGTACCTGTGCTTGGATTCCATGATAATGATTGAGGGAGAGGGATGACAACTAAACCAAAAGTGCAGATTATATGATATAAGAATAATATGATGTAAGAACAAAGGGGAAAATAAAGCCTTCAAGAGTAGAAACATTCTCCTGATACTCATTCAGTGAAAATTGAAAAGTTATTATGCATTATACATGAAACATTAAGGGGCTACACTTAAATGTGGATTTATCCAAAAAGCTGATGCAGACCACAGAAAATATCATAAAGATAATTCTTACCAAAAATACGGTCACCATCTCTGTCCCAGGCGATTCCATTCAGGACCTCAAAGTCCTGCAATGAAGTGCAATAGTGCTTTAGCTTTCACTCAAATACATCAAAGAACCTGGAGGGGGCAGGGCAAGGGAACGCGAAGGTGCATGGGATAAAGTTCTTTCGCTGATGGAAGTAAATAACTTTACTAGTTCCTTGTTATTTAGTAAAAGGAGGGGATGATGGTAGTAATCAATATTACAATATTATCCTTAGAATCCCGCTGTAACTAATTTCATATATGTAAGCACGTCTCACTTCCCCATCAGTATAGCCTCCTTTCCATCTAAGTGGAGAGGTTGGGAACTTCTCTTTCATCTTCCCTCCTCACTTACTCGGAATAAGGTACAGCTAATTAACCTCTGCATCACTTCTCATCATCCATATGATCAATCAATGTTACACCCATCCAAGGCTTATCAACAGAAGATTTAAAAAAAAAGGGAGAGAGAAAGAGAGAGAAGAAGAGAAACAGATACCAAAATAAACCAGAAAGCAGCTTTAATAATGCATCTTACACGAAAAGGTAAAAAAAGTACCTTATAACCTCTTGATATTAGATCTTCCCTGAAAAGAGCCATAGAATCTATCTGTTAATAAATCTCGAGCAGAACTTGTGAACAGCGATACATTAGGACAAAGAACAAAAGCTAATACCTCAAAGATCGGAGGAGAATCCACCCAATTACGGTTCCATCTTTTGGTGAGATTCTAGCAATGCAATCAGTCTGCAGAGAAATACAACACTGACATTACTTCGGCCTCTAATTTAAACTCAAATCTGGAGTTAAGAAATATGACACTAAGATGTCGAAAAAGAAGAAGATTGTCTGCCGCCTTCTAGCGTCATAACAATATCCAATTGGAGTATGCTTATGAAGAGGCTTGCCGAGACAGTTGCTCTAACTTACTTCAGACTGGATAAGAACAGGATCGGACTTAATTGAGTCACCAAATAGACTCTTGGTTCATACAGTGATGCCATACACAACATATCTTTATTGAAAACCCAATAAGTCGGACAAACCTATATGGCATAATACAACTAGGTTCTCAAGCAAGGTTGTTTTCTGGAACTATATCCCTCGATACTATCCAAAACAACTATTTGATCAAGTTGCTCAAAGATGTTTTCCTAAATATGTGGATAGTGTAGAAAATAATGGGAAAAACACAAAGCCAACTCAGTAAAAGGAGCGGTTCATACCACATAAACATTTGCCCAGACTTCATTTTTCACATACTCCAGCTCATTGAGGTAGGGCACTTCATGCCCTTGAGATTTTACAACTTGTTTTCTGATGACTACACCAAGAAAAGGAGAATCACCATCTTAAGGAAAGAAGCAACTAAATTCCACGTAGGCTGTAGATGGAAAAACCTTTCATTGTCTGAGGATCAATCTCATATAATGTTGATGTTCCATCACTTCCAAAAAGAACTCCCCCATCAGTTGCCAATCCCCAACCATCTTGCATGTGATGAGTAAACTTTTCAAACTGCATATAATTTCAACTGCGAAAATTACAACACAAGCTAGTGAACTAGGCCTAGATATAAATAAGAATTTGGTTGCTCCAATAGAAACGCACCAGTCAGGTCCAAAGAGAAGGATTTATCAAAAGTCTATCAATATTATCATAGTTTCATGAGAAGTTATAAGAGATGAGAACTTTGGATTTGAGATGATAATTTTAAATTTAAATTTAAGTCAAAATAGAGGACCTAACACCACATATCAAGATGACAAACAATTAGCTAACACATGGAAGTTGTGAAGTGAATTGAGGCAATAATCCTACAAACATTACTTTTCTCATAGAACACATTAGGAGCTTTAAGATGATTGAACTAAGAGCACATGAAGTAATGGGGGAAAGCATACTTTGCTCAAGTTGTGTCGATCATATATGAAGCCGGTATCCTGCAACCATGTTAGTTGGAACAACCTACAAAAATCCACTTGTTATACAAGAACTAGGGGCCAATGTAAAATTTTAAACTAGCAAACCATCAGTATAAAAATAAAGGAAAGGACATAAAAAGACACAACAATCAAAAAGGAAAACTAAATAAGAGAAAACCTGGTCTCGTCTAATGTACACCAACATTATGAATATCTATCTTTAAAGTATTCCTAACTCCTAAGAATGAAATGTTCTAGTTTTCACTTTTGGCTATCTCTAGCATTTTTTCATAGGGAAGCTTTTTCTATTTTTTTTTTTTTCATGCACATACCTTTACAGAACTAAAATAAGATTTCAAGTCTTACTTCTTGTATGTACCTAGTCCAAGTAGGATAGCTGAATTGGACATAGAGAGAGAGAAAGAGTTGCTATTTTTCTCGTAGAAGGAAGGCTGCTACTTAGAGTACAGTTAAAACTTCATATAATGAAAATCTTCCAAACAGCATCACATATCAGCAGTTTCATAATGACAATTGCCCCCAAATTAATAAAAAATTCAAATGCACTTGATATATAAGCATCATTAGGCTTACATAAAATCCCTACCAAAATTTCATATATTCATAACCGTGAACAAAAAAGTTGCTGTGATGGTTAGTACCGAGTTTAATTGCAAGTTTGCGACCATTAATAGGAATTAGGAGACAGTAGAACAGCAACAAAATCCTACTTCCTTTCATACTTATCCTCTCTGATAAATGCAAGTTTTATACCTAGCAGTTAGCACAACACATTTTCCACTAATTTGCAGAATCAGGAAAAGATGCATGGATCCATTTACTCTACGAACCTCTCACCAAGAAGAGTTAAGCCTTCTCCAAAGTCAGAAGACTGCATTTCATGAACAGCCTCAACCTGTGGAGATTTCAGCATTAAAAACTTATTATTTTTCATGCAAAACATCACAATAAACTTGATAAAAAGCGGATAATACAGCTTATAAATAGAACTTTTGGGATTTGGTCTTATGTTTAACTCTTAGTAAGCAAGTTGTAGTCGTACCTTACCGTTCCTCAGTGCAACTTTTCGAACGGTTGACTGCATTTAAAATAAGAGATAATTAACCATATTTATTAAGCCTAAAAAATAATCATGAAATCACTTTAAGTCTAAATGCAACTCACACGTCCGTACAGTCCAGTTGATTCAAAAAGAGTATCATTTTCTGCATAGAGAAGCCCCTGAAGAGGATAAATACATGGCATCAGGGATCAAAAGCAACTCTAATTAAATTCTCAGTAAAATTAAGCTGAAATTATAACTACAAGTAAAATTTATTTCTAGAATTTAACCTGAGTGTAAGCCTTGGGGTCGTGGGGAAATTCATTGACCACTTTGACTTTGTAAACTTGATATGATGCTTCAGCTTCACTGAACCAGAATACGATAATGCTCAGAAGAATTACCAAGCTTACGACTAGAAACCTTGGATTTAGCAGAGACAACATATTTTTGGAAATGAAGCAGAAGAAGCCGTTAATGGCTTTTTGAGGTTTTAGCGATTAAAAATAGATATTCAGTTGACGTGAATCGTGATGATCGTTGACTGTATGGACTTCTTTCCGCCGTTCGATTGGATCAAATCGCGTTTCACCACCTACCCGGTGGTAGCTCCAGCTTATTTATTGCTTAAACTTAAATTCCACGTGCGTCTCGTTTTGCTAAGAACCGTCAAATGGAATATTTTAATAAAGCGGTGAAAATCATATCTCCTCCAGTAATTTTATAATGTATTTGTTTGCTCTATTATTATTAATATCCCCCATCTTTAATAATCTATTTTGCATCGTGGTATTTTCTTTCTTCTTTTGTTTTTATCTGTGTATTAATTTCGTTTATACTATTGTATACGGTCGAAATTGAGCTCGCATACGACTTGGTAGATTAGGCTTGGAACGTGGCAACCAAGGACTGAAGATCGATCCCGAGTCCCACCGAGCTAGAACCCGAGGTTGGAACGCCTGCCTTCGAGGAACAGTGAGTCCGGTGTCGATCTTAA